ATCCAATATATAAGCCATTCATTTTAGATAGAGTGAATGTTACATATATGAATATAAGTAATATTTTTTCTTAGTCAAATATTATCAAAGTAATTGAAAAGCCTGACAAATAAATGGGCATCCAGAGAGAGAAATGGGGAGAGCGTCCTTATCTTTCCAAATAAAACTTCTGCACAAAGCATAAAACTTCTTACCCCCCCCCCCCCCTCAATGACCAAAGTTTGGCAACTGATCTCTCCTCTGACCTAGCTCTAGCAGCTCAGTGGGTGAAAAACTGGCTGGTCACATTCAATGCTTGTTTTTTTCTTGTATTAACAAAATTCCACGTTTCCTTGTTATATTCCAGGAAGAAGACAAAAGTTCCAAAGATTATGTAAAGAATGTAAGTGTAATATTTTACTTGTCTATATAAGAGTAATGTTAAAATTAGTCATATATGGAAACATTTAGCATTCATTGACCATAAAGTGTTACTGTTGGTTGAAATTTATAAAATCTTTCTCTTAAAACAACTTTTAAGAAAAAATAATTTTCCAAAGTCCAATAACTGTTATCACATGTTCTCATTATTGACGGCAGATTTTCGTTCCTAACCTTTTGTTTAAAGTAGTGTGAAAAATCATCATCTTGATTATGTCATCATTTTCTTTTGAATTACACATGCTATCCATTTAAGTTGTTGCTGCTGTTGAAAGTTCTCAAGTGATGTGGTTTCTGTTATTTGGTACAATTCTTTGTGATTCTGTAGTGCCAGTCAACAGTGTTCAATGAAGGATTGTCCTCTCTATGACCTACAAGTTTCATTCACTCAAGAAATTGATATGAGGAAATGGTTGTATGCAACTGACAGTTTAAATTAATTGCTTGATTTGTTTTTTACAGCTTATCAACTTTTTGCAGGTTATTTAAAGCCAGAAAATATTTTTAAATTGTAAGAAGTAAGAATTTAGTGGGGGGTGATAATGATTTACTGATACAAGTCCTACTAATTAACCTGGGAGGAAAAGAGGTGGATCCGTGTCCTTCCCCGAGGGTATTTGTGTGTAAGTGAATATAATGAACCTGACTGGAATTGGAACTTGTTTCTCCGATTTCCAATTCTGAGCTGTTATCCATTACACTACCCACATATCCAAACTTACAGCATCTGGTATTCCCAAGCAGTCACCCATTTAGGTACTGACCAAGTTTGACATTGCTTAACTTTGGTGATGGGATAAGACCCAGTGTTTCAATGTGATATACTTGTAAGCCCAAGAAAGTTTAAAAGAATATCAGTGTCTATTATGTAATGCTACATGGATTGTTTTAAATTTGAATATATTACACCTTTTTGATCCTCTAATCTGTTAAAGAAAATAAAAGGGTAATTTTGTATGTGAATATGTTCAAGGTTTGAGGTTTTTGAAATTTAAGTTTTTTTTTTATATCGTATGACTGAGGTGTCAGTTCAACTTTGGATAAAGAATAAAAGCTCTAAGCCTTTCTCTATATGACAAACTATATATAAAATTCTGTGACTTCCACTAGCCCGTCCATTCATCATACCCTCTAAAATAATCATACATTAACTGATCGAAACCAAATGCAAATAGGTAAGGGGCTACAAAGAACATTTGGTTTAATAAGGATGTGTAGCTTGGTACAATAAATTTATTTTTAATATTTTTGGAAAAATTGAAAGCTTTATTATTTAACATAAAAAAAAATAATCCCACTGTTTTAAAAACAATTTAACCTATCTATCTTTATATAAAATTTCATTAGGCCATCCATCCATTGGTCACACCTAAAATAGCCATACCAAATCCAAACCAAATTAAAAAATATTGTTTACCAAGAAGTTCTATAAAATTAAATTAATGAAATTATTAAAAAGTCAAAGTATTTTTCAAAAAAATCAGCTTATTCAAATTTAATCAGTTGGTTTGCAAAATTGAAGTTAATGTAGAACTTATAAATTTCAACAAAATGAAAATGTTAGCAATAATTTCCACAATACTAAATGCGGATTTCAACACACATCAGCATGTTGCAAAAAAATTCTAGTCAGTTCAAAATATTAAATAGGTAAAGTAATAGATATTTTGATATTCATTGCAAAATTGTATTTATTTAAATAACATTTTACATACATAGATATAAATATAGACATAAATGTTTGATCAAAAATTACAGTACTGATTAAAAGCAGAAAGTTGAATATGTTTAAAGACTGAAAATATAGTTAAAATCTTTATTTGTCATATATGTCTTTTATTTTAATTATTTCACACTAAGCAAGGCAAGAAAGCCACTAAGATGGAAGGGGGTAACTGGGTGTGAGAAAATATGAGAAAAAATACATTATTAAGGAGAGAGAACAATAAAAGAACAGGAATTAAGAAGGTAAAAGATAACAATTGACATCTCATTTAAATTTTTAAAAATCAAAGTTGGCTGGAAAGCAAGAAACCAAAAGAGAGTTCAACAAGTGAGAAGTGCAAGAGAAGAAACTGTTACAAAAGAACTTAAGGTTACATCTATCCATTTCTATTGTAAAATGATGAGACCTTGCTACCAATCTAGTACTGCATTTGATTTTATAAAATCTCAGTATGCCTATTATGTAGGTATCAAGGTGCCTTCAAATTGCATTCATGATCAAAATTTGAACGTTTGATTGGTGATTTGAAACAGAAAATCTACTTATAAAGTTCTTTTAATGTTAGATGTGCATTATATAGAATTCAAGTATTAAATAAGGAATAATTAGGCAAATCTTCATAAATTTAATATTTCTCTATTTCGCTTCATCAGCAATCTTTTGGAAATGCTATAATGTTAAGTTTCAATTTTTAAAATCTTGTTTTCATTTCATTGAGTAGATATCACATACATTTTATGTCATTCATGTTTATAGATTAGTTTTGAAATTCTATATTGTTTCCATTGGTCAAATGGACATTATGTGCATCTCAGTGATTTTGTTTATGTTTCATTTCTAAAATATTTAATGTAATTGAAATGTGTCTTAAGAAATTGGTTATATTAGTGCATTTTAATTATATGATAAATATGATGAATGTCGGAAGTGAATGTGTAATACTAAATTGCAAATGATTAGCTCCTACATTTTTTAAGTATAGATTTTACAAATATTGGTGATATGACTCTTCATACCGAGGGTACTGAGTTAGCAGTGCTTAGAGAGGCTGCTCTGATCAGCAGTCACATAATATCAGGGTTCTTGCAGTGCTATATCACACATGCATAGGTCCTTACAAACATTTCTGGAGGGCAAACCTGAGGCCACACTGTGCTGCAGTCTGTGCCAATTTCCAGCCAGCTCATGTTGCCTTTGACATGACTGGCAACCACCACTATTATTATTATTATTGGTCTTTCCCACCTTAAAAAAATTCTCTTTTGGTTTCTTGCTTTCCTACCACTGACAATCTTCAAAAATTTAAATGCAACATCAATTGGCATCTTCTGTCTTCCTGAAACCTGTTCATTTATTGTCCTTTCTCCTCACTAAAGTATTCTCATTCTCTTCCACTCCCAGTAATGCCTTGTGTCTTAGTGGAATTATTGCCTTGCTTGGGATGAAATGATTAAAAAAAATGAAGAAGTATGTCTGTTTGTAGGTTGATTATTTATTAATATTCCTTCTTGGTATTTATGAAAACTTAAATTCTCTTATGCAAAAACCATTTTTGTGCAAAACATACAAATTTACTTTATAGGGATAGAAGAGTGTGTCACGTCCCTTATTGCAAATGTAGAACAAGGTGCAAACAAACAAAATTTGAAAAACTACATGACCTTTAAAAGTACAAACATTTATTACAGTAAAAAAACAAAACAATACAGGATTTTACAAACGAACTTGCACAAAAAATTCATTTTGTGCAGCTTATACAGAAACTAAGGTGAGATATCAAATCAAGCAATATACATGACAAAGAAAGATTACAATTTTCAAAAATGAAAAAAAATAACTTTGAGAGAGCAAAGCAAAAAATTAGATAAGGCAGAAAATACACATAGTGCATGCACTTCATTTGTAAGGTAGAATAGAAAATGTCTCAGCAGGAAAGGAGCTTTAGATAGAATTTGAAATGGTTGATGTCATAGGAACTTTTTATATTTTTCTTTTACAGAAAAGTTCAATTTAAGTTTTCAATTTCTTTAAAATTCTTCATTGAAAGCATAACAAATGGATTTTCCACCTGGGACTTGTATCAGCCTTTTGGTTGAGATTTTACTGTCTACTTTTCTTGGTGGTTCCTTCCCCATAGTGAAGTTTATGACTCTTTTCTGCCTTGAAAGCTGAGTGCTTTTTGCTTTGAGTGCTTTCCAATCTTAACTGCTGACCTGACTCCTTTTATGAGAAAACAGGAGACCTTAATTTGAAATTTTACAAGGGTATGAGTCCACAACTTTGATTGGTCAGTAAATACGATAATATTTTTTTTTTCAAATTCAAAAACAAATCCATAACAATTCACTAAGAAGAAATAATTTTTGATATTTCTAAAAATATACATTTGAAAACTGTAACAATTTTTTTACAAACTGTCTGGCTTTCTCTAAAAAGTATATGTAAAATATAAACTGAGACAATTATAATATTCATTTATTTACACCTTTTAATTAATGATTAACTTTAATTATTTTACACAACTAAAATATAAAATCTTTATATATGTTCTTTATAATAGGCTGTGTTCATTTATTTTATTAAGGTAGAATTTTTAAAATTAAAGTTTAGCCTGTTTTGTTGCTATGTGGTATTAAGCAATTTACTGGGTTTTTCCATTGAAGGTCACTCCTTGTCCTGCGTTCATAAATGTGGATCTTTAGATTCAATGGACAGTAAAAGCATGTATATTCATCTATCCATTACTATCATTTGTACAATCTTTTAATTTTAAGATAAAGAAAATGAAAACAAATATTTTTCAAGATTAAATTTTATTCTTAAATTTATATTTTAATTACTTTTTCTTTTGTAGACTCCAGATGAAATTGCACCAATTTCCTTGCCTGTAAGTAAAATATTTTTTATTAAATAATTGTTGGAAAAAGTGGATCAGGTCATTTTTGTGTTTTGAATAAAATATAAATTATTCTGTCAGAAAGTCTAAGACGAGTGACGGTCTACTTCTGAAGCCTGGCTTGAGGTTTTTGTGTCAAGAAAACTTCTTACCTTTCACAATATCTTTTAATTTCGCTCACTTCTTTTTTTGAATATCTGCAAAATTATCATGCAAATTTTCAAAATGCTCTGTAAAAATGGCAACAGGAAAAAATGATGTTATCTCATTATTGTATTTCTTGTCATTGATGGCAATAATTTAATAAAAAGGAATAAATAAAATTAAGAGAAGAAAAAAAATCAGTTATTATCAGTTTCAGAAACTTCAATTTATTAGAAATATTTTACCTTCTTAATTATCATTATATATATATATATATATATATATATATATATATATAAACACACAGAATGTGGCAGAATTACCTCTCACATATACCTTCCATATAGTGATAAGACATTAGCTAGATGAAAACACCTTGCCACTAATGTCTAATGTTTTCTGCATCCTGCGTATATATATATATATATATATATATATACACACACACACACACACATATATATATATATATACACACACATTTGAATATATACACAAGTTACAAATTATATGGTACTTAGAAAGTTACAATAATAATGTAATTTTATATATATATATATATAAAATAATCGAGAAAAGTTTAAGCATTTCACAAAAAAAAACAGTTGCTGACTGCCTGATGATTGCTTTACATGCAAACACATGACATTAATAGTAATTAAATTATTATTATCAATAAAAAAAAATGTCACAATACTTAATTATGACTGAATAAAAGTATTTAAGAATATATATTCTGTCAGTAGCACAATATTGTATGGCCTTGAGAAGAGATAATATTACTGTATACATTTCTCAAATGGAAAGCTTGTAAAAATGTCAAGGTGGGTCACTAGAGTTAGAAAGCAGAAGTTTTGCACAAAATCTCAATGCCTGATAAACTCCTTTAACTAGCACAGTGACAAGTCATTGTCCTATTTAAAAATACAATTACACGACTTTCTGCATTTTTCCTTATAATCAAATATCAATCTCATGCATGCGTGTACCTATGTTTTGTAGATTCAGTATGATGTTTCAGATACTGCGTCTATGATGCAAGTAAGCCAATTTATTACTAAAAAACTGAACATGTTTTTGCAACTTGTTTCCTTTGTGTTTCTTTGTTATTTGTCTTTTGTATTTTACTTGCTAACACTTAACTGCTTCTTTCTTCAACCTTTTACTTCTACATTATATAAAAACCACATTTTGGTGATTATAGATCTATGGTAAGTTATAAAACATTAAATTCTATTCCAAGTGACAAATTTATAATGCTTGTTATCACCAATTGAGTTTGTCTATGAAAACCTTAATTTCTTAGAGGAAAATAGAAACATTTAACTCTTCATTTCAGTTAACGTCTTGTAAAATTTTGTTTATTCACAACTTTAAAATACCTACAGATTTATAAAAACTTCAATTTAAAAAATGTTGATTTAATTTTATCATCATACATAATTTATACTATATATGTATATAAAAACATATATGAATATTTAATTTAAAAATATACATATATATATATATGTATATATATATATAAGGAAAATCTCTGGCAAAGTGGAAAAACTTTTTTTATTCATTTCAGGTTTCATCAGACTAAAGTGTTATTTATATTAATGTGATTTAAAACATAGGCATAAAGGAGAGGATATGCTGAAACTTGTAATTTTAATTTTTAAATTTATTTTTTCTTCTTTTTAATTTTTTAGAAGGAAAGATACATTACATGATAAATTTTTTCACTTTGTCATAGATTTTCACACAAATGTTCTGATACATAAAAATTTATATATCATTTTCCCATACATATATATATATATATATATATATATATAAAAAAAAAATTAAGTTATGTACATAAAATTAAGTTATGAAACTAATAATGGTATGTCTGAAAAGTAAGGTACAAAGCATTTACTAATCCAACGTATTTATTACTATACAAATAAAATGTTATGAATAAGTTACCATCATTACTATGCAAAATTTTTACATAGTTGCTATCAAGATGGATGCACTTGTCTCAACAGTGTGCAAAAATATTAATTCCCTCTTTAAAAAATGTGTTATCAAACAATGCAACAAAAGCATCATCAATGTGAAAAAACTTCTCATAAATATGTAATCTGAGGACTGCAAATGGTCTGAAGATACAATAAAACATCACAAGCTACACTTTTATCAAGTTGGCCATATATAGAGAGGGGCATTAGTTTGCAACTCAAGACGACAACACTTTCTGATATCCGACATTCTTGTGGACAAGTTCATGGGTCACCAATTTTAGATGATCAAGTTCCATGAAGTTTGTATCGTCTATAAACTTGAATCAAAGCTTCAACTATTGTCTTCTGTTGTTGATAAACATGGATATCATAGACAAATCTTGTTCAGCATGTTTATCTGCTCTTTTGTGATTATGTTACACCAGACTGATACCTGTTTCCTACTCATTACATGTTCACCAGACATAATGATAAATTCACTGGAGATTCCTGTTGTTTTTTGTCTTTGCCATGCAAAAATCTTCAAACCTTTATGTTTGTTCACTGTTTTATGGTGGCATTCATTGTTGTTGCTCACATATGCATACAGTACATTCTAAGACTTTTCTAGCTGTAATATTAAGTACTGCATACTCCATGTTACTGTGTGTTTATAAATTTCATTATGTTCTAATACTGGCTGATTTATACTTATTTATAACTTACTATTCAGACATTGTATGTTATATGAGGTTATGATGAAAAGTTCTTGGTCTTACAAAGAAACCCTTCAAAGTGATATGGTGTTTAGTTATAATTTTGGAAATAGCTTAGGTCAAGGACTTTTCAATATCCTCTTTTGTGTGTGTGTGTGTGTGTGTGTGTGTGTGTGTGTGTGTGTGTGTGTGTATATATATATATATAGTGTTGGAAATAAGTATAAGACACCCCATGAAACTGTTAATAATTTTCTTATTACTGCACAAATTCTTCTGAAAATTTGTGTGTGGTACCTAGATGTGATGGGTATTAGTATACATATTTGATTTTTTAACAACTTTCCACCAAAAAAAAGTTATTAACAAAACTTCATTTTTGAGAGTGGAAATAATTATAAGACAGTTTTGAAAATTTGCAAATCTGGTTTACTTCAGAATAACCAAAGGAAGAATAAGTGCATGCACAGATTATAAAAAAAGACTCTTATCTTGATTTTAAGCCATGTGAGTCCTATTTAAACATTTCATAATTGAATATAGTTACTGCAAAATGCCTAGGAACTCTTCCCCCCTTAATGAAAAAGGGCAAATTTCTGCCTATAAACTGGAAGGAAAATCTATAAGTTTCATTGCAAGAGGACTGTCAAGGTCCCGAACAGTTGTGAGAAATTATCTAAAGAACCCTGAATCATATGGCACCAGAAAACATCCATGTCGTCCACCTAAAAATTACAAATCCAGCCAGATGTTGACTTTTTCAAGAAGCTTCTAAAGGACAATCAAGCTTAAAAGATCTGCAAAAATCTCAGAATTTACCCATCACTCCAAGAAGAGTTTGTCAACTTCTCCATGAATTGCCAAATCCTGTGTATCGAAACAGGAAGACAGCCCCTGCTTTAACTGCTAAACACAAGAAGATAGATTGGGTAAAGAAAAAAGTAACATGGACAAAGGAGAAATGGGAAACCGTGTTGTTTTCTGATGCAAAAAAGTTTAATTTGGATGGGCCTGATGGTTACCAGTGTAATTGGCATGATTTAAGAAGGGAGAAACAGCTGTTTTCAAAAAGACCATTTGTAGGAGGAGGATCTGTTATGGTTTGGGAGCTTTTTCTGTGTCTGGAAAGGCTGATTTAGTAGTGATGGAAGGGAAACAAAACTCTGCTCCATATATCAATGTGTTGGAAAAAAGTCTTGTCCCATTTATGAATCGTCTAGACACCAATAATGCCATTTTTCAACAGGACAACACAACCATACACAATTCTAAGCTCACAAAAGACTGGTTTAAAACAAAAAATATTGAAGTTTTGGACTGGCCTACTAAGTCTCCAGATTTAAACCCAACAGAAAATTTGTGTGGAATTTTGTCAAGTAGAGTATACAAAAATAAATTCAATTTGAAGATAGAGAAACTTTAAAATCTTGCATTAAACAGTATTGGAATGAAATTCCATCTGAAACTCTCAGAAAACTTATTGATTCAATGCAAAACAGGTGTGCTGAAGTATTACAATTGAAAGAGAATAAATGTAAATATTGAATTTTGTACAAAAATGCTGTTAAATACAAATTTTCAAAACTGTCTTATGCTTATTTCCACTCTCAAAAACGTATTTTTCTTAATAGCTTTTTTTGGTGGACTGTTGTTATAAAATCGAATATGTATACTAATACCATCGGATCTAGGTACCACACAAATTTTCAGAGGAATTTGTGCAGTAATAAGAAAATTATTAACAGTTTCATAGGATGTCTTATTTCCACCACTGTATATATAAGCAGTATAGGCACAATGATCAACATTGCATAGTGACTTTCTGTTTCATGCCTTCAGTGTTGATCCCTATGTAAACACTGTCTACATCTACAAATACTCTATCTATCATAGTAAATATAAATATAGATAAATATCACACATTTTAAACAATGTACATACATACATACATACGTATATATATATATGTATATATATATATATATATATATATATATATATATATATAAATATATATAAGAACACCTAGTGAGGGACAAACCTACCTAGGTTTCACCAAACGGAAGTCAGGGAAAGTTTGGCTAGGCGCATTAACATATCCAACTTTCAGGCATATATACATGGGGAGCTGTAATTCTATTTCGGTGTTAAAATGCGTAGCTTTTATATGTAATTCATATTCCTTTCAACAAGGAGCAGGTAGGGGTGTTATTGATGTTTTTCAGATCTACTGCTTGTGCCTAGCCCCAGATAGTTTATATAGATGTGTTTGTGTGAACCAAAATACATACACCAGTATGTATGCCTATGTATATGAGAGTACCACTTCAAACAAACACAGAAGTAGATTGCCTCTCCCACCACCAAACAGTCAAACAAGCATAAATAGATACAATTTTTAAAAAACAAACCAGTTTGCCTGATGATTGCAAAAGATTGAAACTCAGGGTCGCAAACTCATATCCATACAACTGAATATATTAGCTCTATCATTGATATTGAGCACTTTCCACTAAAATACACTGCACATATAAAATAATATATATATATATATATATATATATATATATATATATATATATATAAAAGGAAAAATTTGTCTCAAAAAAATCAGTACTAAATTTTATTTTTTTTCAGCAGGTAAGTTTTTAATACCTACCTCTCTCAGACCAAAATTACAAAATGGTCTAAATTTATTCAGACAATATGTTAAAAAATGTTTTTTTAAAAAATCACAAGAGAACAAGAAGTCTAACCTACTTAACCTAGAAAAATTAATCTTTGAATTTATATTATTGAAGAGAGGGGTGGGGAAGTAAAGTAGCAACACAATGAACAGGGGTGGGAGGGGGAAGTACAAATGACAGCTAGTGAAATAACATTGGAATCAAATCAAAATTTATATTGTCATCATCTAAATTACATCAAATAATAACAATCACCATCACATATAAAAAAGAATGAAAAATTAAAATATAAAACACCTTAAATTCAATGTATCTAATTCCTTTCTAATACATCATATATATATATATATATATATATATATTTATATATATATATATATATAAAATTTTGTCTTGCTAGAACAATTATGAATGAGTAGTGAGTTCGATCCTTACTGGGTACCTTATACTTTTAGCCTTGTGCCACATCTAAGCTATGCTTGGAAAATCATTATACACACATACATCTGCACACATACATAAATATACAAAATATATACATATAGATAAATCAAAGCATAAATCATGCTACTTGGATTATCCTTTCACTAACAGATTTGATATTATTATCTATCTATCTATCTATCTATCTATATATATATATATATATATATATATATATATAG